GTCCTCTAAGTACGATGGTTAGTGATGAAGTATAATGAAACTTTCACAACTTAATCATCTAGCTTAGAAGACGCAACAATTTCGACATCCTCATCCTAAGCCATTAATATTCTCGATCATTTCATTAACCCTGCAAATAACTTTACCACATGACGAATAAGGTGAAAATACATCGATTTTATTTCCGTGACAAGTCGTATTAATAGTGACCAAAGTCATAATAGTTGTATTAGTAACAATGCATAGTGGATAAACAGGAAAATAGAATGGACACTTAGAAACACTAAATCGATTGGTATTAAATTTGATTATTTAAATATTTGTCAGTTTTCTTCACATATCCAAGTTGCGCGTGTTGTACCTAATGTAGAGCCATAATTACATCCTTGTACACTATTATTCACATTGGAAATTTATTATATTCTACCAAGTGGTCTAATTTAATAAGTTCAGAAAGTAAACACTATCCTTTACATATGATATTAGACGCATTTGAACAGAGACTGTGTAATAGTAAGGTGATTATATCGCAACTGATTTCGCTTTATATGGTATTAGGTCAATCAGATAATGCCAAGTTTTCTCGTCCTTCGATCAATGAATAAAATTGTAATCGGTTACAAGACAGTACTGGAATGAAAATGGTTATGAACACCAAATCGTATCACGAATAATAAATTAAGCGTCAGTTCCAACAGAGTTCAAAGATATAAAATCGAACTTAAGTCCATGTTGTCTTCTCTGAGCTTTAATTGATTTTCCTTGCAAAACCTTGAGTTAGTCGTTTTTTCACATGAAATACTTTCACTTAAAATTCGAATGATGAACAACTTATTACGGCTGACCGAATAGTCGTTTGTCACTTTTGATAAATTTTTATCTAAGGCACATCCAAACATTTAAAATTTAAGTATTAAATAATCTGGATTATCCGAGTAATTAATGGTAGTTCGTGAGTACATAACTCAATATTTTGGAAATGTTTAATCCTATTTGTCTTGTTTAATGACCTTGTTTGTGACGGTAAACCCAGTAATCATCTCTAAGACATTAACATCGTTGGAACTTCAATATATATAGTTATCCTTCATTAATGATAACTAACTTTTGTATTATTCAATCAAAGATAAGCTAGCTATTTCGCAAATATTGAAGTCAACCTCTGATACACGAAATTTTTCGACTTTGTTTGATGGAATCACATCATTTTAAAGGCCACCATGTGATTTAAACTCGTGAAGCAATTAACCTTTGACCTTTTTTTCTTAGGTGTTCACCTAAATGCTGTAATGTATAGCGAAATACTGGCGCAGTATTATGCTTCAATTCCAAATAAAAATAGTTACCATTTGAATGAAAAAGTCGATTGGCATTGATGAGAAAATCTTTTTTTAAAATATATAGAACCCAATAACATAAGAGGAGACAAAGTATCTGAAAAAATAGTATCCCAAAATAGTCAGTAGTGAACTTAGTGGCATATTTGGTTAACCATCATATAAGCAAGTGTTTAAAATTAAATATTGTTAGATCAGTTAAGACGGTTAAGTGAATTGAAGTAATTTTCGTATCATAAAAGAAATACTACATTACTGAAAAAGCGTACGTGAAATCATGATTTGAAAAACAACTCATCAATTGAATAATTTCGTAGTATAATTTTTGATGATTCAAAGATATTCGAAATTAACCTGATCAGTAATGCTCTATTTCATATGGTATATCTTATGACTGAATAGAGAAGCATCTCATTGAAATAAGATAATCTTAAACATTGATATGTTTCTCGTAGTGAAAAATGAAGTATTCAAACGACTAAAATTTAATAATAGAAATGTCATAAAGCAACATACTATCACTCATATTAGTAGGAAAATTCGTCTCTGTCAATAGGAAAAGTGAGTTTATCTGTTGAATATAATGAAATTGTTCATTAATTTTCCTAAATATATGTCTATAGATTTATTGATGCAAACAATTTTCAATCAACAGGATAATAATACAGTATACTCCAGAAATGAAGTCCAAAATTACTCTCAGGAAAGAGACAACATGCATAAAACCCTGCAATTATTAAGCAAAAAGACCTAACTCTTTCTTCAAACATCATGTTTACTAGATCGCAAAAGTAAAAGTGCATATAAACCTGGAGGATTAAACATATATTCAGTTGTGTGCAGTCTAACATACCAATGAATGATAGCAAAATATTTACAATTTCAGTCTGAAAAGAAAACATGATATAAAAACAATATGATCTTCTATCGAAAAATATATTATTGAATTAGATCATAAAAACTCTTGAATCCTGATATTACACCCGTCAATAGTTATCTCAAGTGTTTATTTCAGCGAAATAAAACAGAAAATGTAGACCCATAAATAGGTATAAGAATAGTTTAGACTAACCATGATTAGGCCTAATTCATTTTGTATGCTAGGTGTCATGATACGGCATTTTAGTTTTTCTACGAAACACTTTCTTTCTATTCCTTCATTCCCCGAAGAGGAGGCTTACAATGAGTCACGAACCGTCACAAAATCTAATTTTTCTACTCATTGGCATATTACAAGTATATTATTTTTATTCTTTACATTCTATTTGTTTGTAAACTCATGCACTGTTAAATATATATCTGATTGAATTGTTCGAAAAATTTTACGTAACTACAACACTGATTTTAGATGAACAATTTCTACTCATCGAATGATTTAAAAGACTGACAACTCGAGTGATATACACCATTTAGTGTTTTGTTTGTCGCAGTTATCCAGAGGATTCGATTTGGTCAATCACCTACTTAATAATTTCGTGGATGATGAAAGAAATTTCTAGCATATTAACTAACTTAAAAGAACAATTTTCAAATATAATTCGTGAATGTCTCCAACATGTCACAATTTAAGGGATAGATGGCCCTAATTATTTGTGAAATGCACACTGATATACAACATTCTTCATTAACAAAACGAGGCAGTTCCAATTCATCATAGAAACATAATCATTATAGCCTATCACTATTATTCACAATAGTTTAGATAAGGAATGTACAATATTTCTCACTAACAACCTGCTTTTGTGGATTGAATCCGTCACAGATTGATCTTACTTGAGTTGTCAGTAAAAGTCAATAGAGCATTGAACGACCGTTTCGTCTATGATGGTGTTCATCAACAGTGAACTCCTACGAATCATAGTAGGATCGAACATAAGTTCTTCAGCACTTTGCATTAAAACCCCTGACCATTAGAACTACTAGAAGAGTGTTTAACGATACTATCCATTTTCAATCAATTCTCAACATGATGTGATGATCATTTCATGTCATCGGTAACAACAGTTTCACCGTCAATACGCCTGAATTGACAGTTATGAGCATTTTCAGAATTTTAGAAGTATTTTCAAATATTTAATAGATAAGCTTGCATTTAAACCAGTAGACAGTATATGATAGCACACTCATGTTGTAGTTTGACAGTGCTATTCTGTCTTCAGTGCATAACTGTAAATTCCAGTAATGCATGAGTTTATTAGTGCAATAATTATCATATGTTGAAATATTCAATAAATAGGATGGTTATTTTATTTTAGTTGAAAGTGTTTTGAAGAGATGTGTTCAAGATGTGGTTTACATAAATCACATACCACAAAACCCGCATGTTCTACGTTGGATGTCTTACGGGGTCAAATATTATCCACTCCTTAGAAGTCCCACAATGAAACGAAATAGATTTCCAGTGCTTCTCATTTTTCAATGATGCCCTCGTTGTGATCAATCAGTGACGAATAGAACCTAATAATTACACCAATCTCAACAGAAACCCCTTCATTCTGACTGGTTTTGATAATCGATTATGTTTTTAGTTATTTCCAAACCATCGAAATGTCGTCTTGTTTTCATTACATGGTATTACACAAAACGAATAAAATATTTTGTTGAAAAATGTAAACGGAAGTTCAAATGTTTTCAAAACTCTCATTCATACGAGTGATTTAAAATTACAGCCCGTAATAATGCAAAGCACAAGTTCCACTATTTTGTTTTGTTTAATTATAAAAACATTCTCTGATCATACATGAAATCTAAGAGTTACATCCCAGTTGAATGTGATGTGATCCAATTTCTAAACTCGTATTTAAACCAGTTGACAGTATGTGATAGCACACTCATGTTGTAGTTTGACAGTGCTATTCTGTCTTCAGTGCATAACTGTAAATTCCATTAATGCATGAGTTTATTAGAGCGATAATTATCTATAACTACTGTTAGTGAGAGATTATTGAAGATGATAACTTAATCAAGTGGTTCTAGCGACTCTGATTTTCTTTTAAGCTTTGACACCTTTGCTTTCTCCTCATGGGATTGCACATGACACAAAGTTGAGTACTTCGATTTTAGATGTATTAGTCTCAATACAGCAATAGTCAACTGAAAATACCAGTTGTATTTCATCGTCGACAAAGCGTTAACAATCAAAACAAGAAAATCTAAACAGCATTAACTACTGTTATAGTGCCACGTGATTTATTCAGACTTTTGACAGATAAATGGGTCTAATCAGTTCAGTTATTCCGTCACTTATAAATTTACTGTTGATACTTGTTCAACTGTGGCTCTAATCATTTTTCATGCTCATGCGTATGATAATATTTATTTGTCTATCCACTTTCTGTACTTCTTAAGTGGCCTACGAAAGCCGAGTCATTTCATTGTTCGTCGAGTCAGTGCACTACCAAACGCCGATTCTCCATATATTCGCTACATCTTTCACTCCTTGTCTGCCGTTCAATTTCAACATGTTTAACATGTGAGTATCATAAATAAGACTCGTATTCAACTTTTGATATCTACAACGTATCGACGTGATTTGTCGATAGAATGTATACGAACTAAACCGCATGAATATTTCAACGGCATCATTACCGCATCAACACGATGAGGTCAACGATGCGGTTCTCACATATGAAACTTGCTAAAGATAGACAGAACAAAGTCGTTTTCTAGACAGAGAACTTTATAAGCTAAAATATTCATTTCAGTAAGGGTACAAACATAGAAACATTCTTCACAAAGTATAATTCATTGTACAAAATATTAAGCGTAACATCCAATTCAATCCTTGGGCAGTTTTTCGATTATCTTTTCAAACCATGATTGCATCAATTCAGCACGTTGAGCACCTGTGGCCAAGACTTCTTCGTGGTTCGCCTTCACACTGCTTTCAACATCCAGCACACTTATATTTGTAACTAGTGAAACGGCAAACACTTGAATTCCACAGTGCCGAGCAATTACAACTTCCGGAATCGTACTCATACCTGTAATACATGGTGAGATAAGCGTTAGCACATAGACTTAATGCTCTGTAAATAAATAGACGAAAATGAGAGAGTTTGACTGTTTTTCTTTGAATTAAGAGAATGTATCCCACCTAAAACACGGATCAAAGATGTGAGTTAATTACTAAGTGACGTTTGTTACATGATTATTTAATTACTTGTCGAATATTCGAACAATGATAAATTAAACATCTACAACATTTCTGAGTTGGATCGACAGTAAATGCATATAGAATTCGCCAACAGTCAACCAAGAACATGCACATGAGCATTTACCGTATTTTCTCTAAACGATACAGAAATCTGGAGTGAAGACACACCGCTTGCAACTTATTCTCATAAAACTGAATGAGTAGCACGTTACTTCAAGGCACTCAGCAAATCTAATCTGACGACGTAGGGTTTTCTCGTTATCTGATCAGTTAATTGAACAATAACTGACTGCAGACAGGCACTGTCTGGATGAAAACGGTTATTAAATACCGGACTGTTCCAGAACATTGAAATATCTTACTGGTGATATACAAGGTGTCTTTTGCAATCACCTTCAGAGGTTTCATCGAAAGTCAATGGATAGGCAGTTCACCGCGTTTGAATTGATGTTTGTTGAGAAAATTTGAGTAAGTATTTTACTCATGCAAAGTACTTTGATTTAGACTAAATATCTGCCTAAAGTATACTAAATACCAATCGATCATTGTTCTGATATTTTGTGGTTCCCACAACATACATGTTTCATTTTAAATGGATTTCTGAGATTTAATATCTTGAACAAAATAAACCATAGTTAATAGTCACAATCAGACTGATACAGTTTTGAAGCTGCCCCAAAATAAATACACTGTTAGCTATGTCTCTGAAGTATGCATGGAGCTGAAACATTTGCATGTGACCTGTTATCCGTTGATCACACGGAAAATGCTTAACTGATTAAAGCTAGCGTAGAAAATGTATCCTGTAACTAAAAAAACATCATCAACATTCTATCTTAAAAGCATGCAGTTTGAATGTCATTTAAATACAGTAAATAAATGGTTGTTTAATTACCGACTACATCACAACCCATGTTAAGAAGCATTGTGCACTCAGCAGGTGTTTCGTAACAAGGACCACCATTCATCACGTAAACACCTTGGTGAACCGAATCCCCAAATCCGTTTTCTACAGCTACTTGCATAGCCAGTTTTCGCAGGTCACTGTTATAAGCATCCGAAAGTGCTGGGAATCGAGGACCAAATCTACGGAAATGAGATTGAACACAATGTAACATACTCCTCATGATTCGGTCCGACCAAAACATTATTTAATCCCAGTCCAGGAAGATAAATATGGTCTTTTAGGATCACGAAGTCACCAAGTTTGAGACTTCTGTTGAGACCACCAGCAGCATTACTAACCATAAGAATTTTGACTCCCAATAACTTCATCACACGTATGGGAAGAGCGATCTATGGCAAAGAGATAATTGACCATCACTAATGTATTACCTTGTCATTGGTATATCCCTCGTACATGTGAAACCGTCCTTGCATTACGACTACCTTTCGGCCGCTCAGAGTTCCAAATATCAGGTTTCCGGAGTGTCCAACAACTACAAATGTTAATTTAACGTATGCAACTACTTACCAGACGTTTGAGGGAAGTTGGGTATCTTTGTGTATGGAATTATGATTTTATCTTTCACCCCATCAGCCAACTTCCCCAGACCACTTCCACAAATGATCCCGATTTCTGGTACGATACTTATCATTTTTTGTATATGATCTGCCACTTTCTTGACATTTTCAATGTTAGCAATTACTATCTCAGGCCTGTGATCAAAATAAGATGTATCTTTTATGTTAACTTACATTTACGAACAGCAACTTTTGTACGATGCTGAAAGTAAGAGGGGAAAATTGAATAAAAGACAGAATTCATATTAAAAAATATTAATTAGTTTCCAGAAGTTCAAAGCTAAATAACCGTTTGTTTGATCTATTTGATCGCTTAATTTTGCCGCAAACATGTAATTTGTGTTAACTTGAGAAAAATAATGAATTTCACCAAAAACCTATCTTTTCTTCAGAATTGTCGATTCCATCACAAATACACTTCTCGCCAGCCGTTTTATAAGAAAAACCGATGAAGGTTTAGAGAATTTTATTTTCGTACGTCATTTTACATACAAGTATCTACTGGGTATCGCTATTTGTAATAAATTTAGTGGTAATGTTCATTTAACACATTCAGAAGCCTAAGTTATGTAACCTGATTAGTCAGTAATATAATCACAATGATGAACACAATCTTAGCTTTCATTAATTCGTGTACTTTGAGTTGTGGTACATGATACACGTCGAAGATAATCAGCTTGTTTCATTCCCATACTAAAGTTATGTATGGGGTCTTTAAGGACGCCAAAAGCGCAAATCATTGTTTTGTTTATTAAATGAATAGTCTTCAGAGATGTACGCTTGGTGTCCAGGATCATAAAATGAACAGGATAAAAAGCCCTCAACAGCTACAGAAACTGTCTCTAATTGTTCAGTGGATGACTGAATGAGAAAGCTTTGAGTAAGCGAGCTTAAGTGGATTCAATATAAATGATGACCGTTGTATTTCATGTAAAATAATATTTTCGTAGTGATCACTGGAGCCATGAGGACTGAAAAATTATTTTTATTAACCACTAAAATGTGAGTATTTGAACCGTTGGGCTGTCACTCCCTGGTTACAAAGAAAACAACTGTTTTCAGAAATCGGTCAGTTTACAACACATCAAAGAAAATAAAAATCAGCAAAATGAAGTGCAGATAAGTTGAATCATAATGAAATATACACTTAAGCTGAGCACGGTAGATGCGATGAATAAAAAGGAATGTAAAACAATGAAAATAATAGGATAATGGCTTAGACTTAGATAAAGATGACACGTTCATAGACATGAAGAAATATCTTTAGTTTGTCCCAATTCATTTGTAGTTTCAAAAAATATTATGACGATCGGCAAGCCAACTTTGTTATAACCTGATTAATTCAGATTACACGGCGTGAAAGTTTGCAAAATATTGGATATGTAGATCGATCGAATGTTTATAATCTGCATTCTTTCGATCCGGTGTGTAAAAAGTGCATGAAACATCAGCATAGAGCACAAAACGACAAAAATAACCCAGAAAACATTTATTTGAGGCTATGTTGATAGTTTTATACCTCGAAATTCTCCATAATCACTAAAGATATTATCTTTGAAATTACGAAGTAGAATTCTAATACGTTTTCCGAGTTTGTTCATTTTAAAAATCGATAACAGCATAACGATGAATAGATGGAGACAAAAGAGCTATACAGTTTGTAAAACCTAGCGGGACTTACTGGGTTAACGAGCTGACGCGAAAGCCGGTTTGGAATTCAAAATGATATAAATAGTAAACTATGAACGTCCAATATCCAATATATTTGTCAATAGCTTGTATACTTAATTATATCTCTTACAACTCGCGAAGGAGCATAAGTCGTTCAACAGCACTCTCCATCAAACACTGTCCTTCGCAGTCTTTTCGAGTTGTTTACAGATGCTGTTCATTATTTCGATGTCTGCATCCAATTCTAGGTACAGTGTGTTCGTTGATCTTCCACTCTTTCCCTCCCCCTCAGGATTCCAAGTTAGCACTTGTCTCGTGATGCAGTTAGATGATTTTCACGAGGCATGTCCTATCCACGTCCAACGTCTTTTCCAATATCATCTTCAATTGGAAACCGGTTTGTTCTCTCCAACAGTAGGCTGTGCTTGATGGTTTCCAGTCAACGGATATTGAGTACCTTGGGTAGACAATTGTTTAAAGATACTCGTACATTTTCGGTGATAGTTGTAGTTCTCCAAGTTTCAGCTCTGTACAGTCGAACTGTCTTGACGTTCGTATTGAAGATTCTGACTTCGGTGTTAACTGACAGTTGTTCTGAATTCCATGTGTTCGTCAAATGTGGAAATTAGACACCTGTTTTACCAATCCTTGTCCTTACGTCTGTATCAGATCCTCAATTAGTTACCAATAACGCTTTTGAGATGCTTGAACGTATTCATCTCTTCCAGAGCTTCTTCATCAAGTGTTTGCCATGTTGTATTTGAGGACCTTCGTTTTTACCTTATGTATGTTGAGGCCTACTGAAGCAGAGGACGCTGCTACACTGTATGTCTTGAACTTCATTTGCTCATGTATATGAGACAGGAGGGTAGGTTGTCTGCAAAGTCTAAATCCTTTGGTTGCATTCGAGCTGTTCATTGTATTCCGTGCTTCCGGTCAAATGTCGAGGTCTTCACAATCCAATCAACCATCAGAAGAGAAAGAGGGAGAGTGACCAGCCTACTCTAACACCGATCTTAACTCGGAATGAGTCTGTCAGCAGCGCTTCATGCACCACTTTGCAATGTGGTCCATCTTATGAATTTCGTATGATGTTGACAGTTTTCTCAGGTACACCATAGTGTTGGAGACGGTTCCATGAGGTTCTCCTATCCACCCTGTCAAGTGCTTCCTCATGGTCAGGGGAGTTGATGTACCGTGACAAATTCCATTCAACTGACTGTTCGGCGATTATCTGTATTGTCGTGTTTCGGTCTGTACATGAACGATCCTTATGGAATCTGATCTGTTGATCTTGAAGTTGGGTGTCTACTGCGTCTTTCATCCGGTTCAGCAACGATCTGTCAATATTTTTTCATGTTACTATTAGTGGCATGATGCCTCCTTAGTTCTCACACTTGACAGGAGATGTGCTTCTTTCAAGTATGTCAGTGGCACTTGTTCCTCCTCTCAAATCTTGCTGAATGGAACGTGGAACATGTTTGCATTTGCTTCTATGTCTGACTTCAGTGCACCAGGTGGTATATTTTCAGGTCCTGTTGCTTCCTCACTCTTTATTTGTTTGATGGCCATCCCGATTTCTTCGATCTTTGTTGGAGTGACATCCAGAGGAAAGTCTGTGTGTGTTGTTTCGACATCTGGTTGCTTCAGTGAGGCTGATCTATTGATGAGTCCTTCAAAGCGTTCTACTCATCTGTCCCTGTGTTCTTAAATCTCAGTGATTAGTTTGCTTTGTTTATCCTTGATAGGTCTCTCCGGTTTACTATATTCCTCTGCTATTTTCTTCGTCATGTCAGGTAGTTGTTTCATATTTCCTTCTCTTACAGCTTATTCCGCTCACGTTGCCATTCTCAGTCCATTGCTTTCTCTTCTATATCTTGGCGGGAATAATCTTGCGGACGAGAGTCTGTTTGCGTAAGTTTTTTTCTGTGGCTCCATCACACATTCAGTTCCGTCTACGTGTACCTGTTGACAGAGCTTTATTTGTCTTGAAGTGAAGGGTTGAGGTTAAAATTTGGACATCTCATTGAGGAAGTGATGGCGTTTCTAACAAAACCAGATGCGAATCTTATGTGTCTGCGTCATGTCTTCCCATAGAATGAAGAATCGCGGTAACTTTGGCTATATCCCAGTATTGATGTGGTTGGTGTCTGCCACCCCTGTAGTTACAAGCTCTAGATGCCTCCTGAGGATACTCTTAGGAGAGGAATTTCGTTAAGGAGTACGTCATTTGTATATTATGATACAGAATTTCGATGGTATGACATTAAGAATTTTAAGTCCTAATGCACTGTCTACCGTTGATTATCTCTATTACTGTTAAGTCATTTGCAAGCTCAAGTGAGTCCTTCTAGCTCATTATGGGCAGCCACCTATTCTCGTCGTCCGTGAGGATTAGTGCTACTGAGTTAAGTTGTTTTACTTTTTCATCAATAAGAAATAAGATAAGGGAATGAACATAAGATGGCCCTCTTGATCCACCTTGATGCAGAACATTCTGCTCTGGAAGTGATTTCGCAGCCTAGATTGAAGTTAGTCAGTGAGATTCGTCATCGATAGCTTTGCTTTAGACATATATGTGGTGCGATGCTAAACTTGTAGTCAAATTCGAAAAAGATTGTATGAACTGGAATCTTCCGGTTCCAGCATCTCGTCCATATGTCTTATTCTATGAAAAGATTGTACGCGTTAGACCTTCTTTTCTTGAACTCATGTTACGCATCCTTGAGGGCCCTGCTTTTGTTCAGGTATCTCCTTATTTTGTCATTGATCGACACTATTTTGGGTAATGTGACTGGTCTTTTATCAATAATGAATTTTTCTATCTCCTTTCAGAAGATTTGGTATGTCATAGGTTGATACCGTTCTTATGAGTTTGTTTGGATTGAAGTACTATTTAAATATTTTTCATACCATTATTCTGATGATATCAAATCCTGAAGCCTTTCTCGGTCGCAAAGACATCAGCTCATTCAGAACTAACTTTCAAGTTAGGTGGACGTTTCCCAGACTGTTGCCTGGTTTCAGTATAGAAGTATGTATCTCATTTTGTAGCCTCCCAGTTTTGTTAGGTGTCAAAATGAGCACTGAATATTTTTGTCATTTACTGGACGTTAAAATTATTTACAAGTTCATCGGCTTTTCTTGAACATGAGCGGGAGAAAACATTCGGCTTATCCTTGTATAGAAATTTCTCCTGTCTCTTGGCACTTTGAAATTGCATCCGTTTCTCAGGATCAAATGAGAACTGTTATTCAAAATGTTATAGAGAATCCTTCCACATATACTAGGTCCTCCATTTTGCTTATAATGCGCAGTATGTGCCTAGTTTGTCACGTGCCTTTTCAGCTTAGGTTTCGCTGTCTGAATGACAAAGCAACCTATCTCTCTGTTGTCACACACTAATTGCTCTCATCACTCTAGTCGGTATTGGATGTGTTGAGGATGTTCTCTCATAAGCGCGCAGTCTACATGAGTGTAAAATAATAAGACGTATTCTGCTTCTCCCGCGATAACTCACTTATGATCGTACTAAAGATCACTGTACCTATTTCTTTTTTGACTGGTTAGTCAAACTAAGAGCAAGAATCTAGATAGGTTTGCCATTATTAGAGATTTGTTTTCGGTATTTAAGTAGGGTGGCCTGAGTTGTTCACATTATTATGATGTTTGTTATCTTGTCTTTCGGTTTTCGTACTAGTCTTCCATGTAATCATGGTTTCAGTATTGGTCGAAATGTTAGTACTGAAAATATTACTCAGTAGTCTAAAGCGTTGGATATGGAGAAATGTAAGGAAGAGGTGTATAAGATTAAGTGTTCTGAAAGCTCTATTCTTCTTTAACCTTCATACATACATATCTTTCGTCTTTTCCATCAAAAGTCTGAAATTGCGAAGTCACATGTGACCGTTCTGGCAAGCACATTTGCATCGGTCTAGTAACTTTGTCACGAGTCTTTTGTCCACGAATAATCACGTGTGCATGTCTTGCGATCGGTGCAACTCAAAATGATCTAACTTTGGTATGACTTTGGTTTTCATATCATTGTGGTTACTTTCGAATAGGGAGGATATATTTTGTGTCCTTGGAATGAATTAAATACCTCGATTCGGTAGTAGAAACTACTTTTTCAGTTATTGGTAACAGGTCAGCTAGATAATGTCAGTTCGGAATTTAGACTCCAACCAGTGTAAAGAGGATGTTTATTGAACTCGCTTGGTTGTGGTACGTTATGGCTTCAAGGTTATACTGACTTTTGATTGATAATCGTATTGTGAAAACTATGAAGCCTATATGAGTAATTAGGACAGAAATCGTCAAAAGTAACGAATAATGTAATTGTGCAAACGAATGGCAGATAAACAGGGCAAATGAGAAGCAAAGTAGGTGAAAATGCTGTTTAATCGGTACTAACGGAAATGGTGATTGTGCTATCCATGGCGATTTGTTAAGCTTGCAAGTAGCCGCCACACTAGTCGAAGAACCACAAACCTTAGGCAAGTACGGAATTTTCAAGGCTGTTTTACGAAGTGGTCTCTCAAGAGGGCTGTTGCCACATCGGCTGGGAGATATTTCTTGATAGATGTGAATTGCAATAAAAGGTTTGAACCTACCTGGGTGTTTGACAAGTGAATTCGGGCGGTGTCATGTTTTTGACAAAGCAAGAAACAGTTCCAAGTGGTTGTTACCTTCAGACTACGAAAAAATTGAATTATGTTCTCTCTGTATGACCACAGGCATCCAAACTCTCAGAATTCGACCGTAAAAACTTCCTTAAAGGGGAACCTACATAGGCTAAACTTATCGTAGTTATATTGTTCTTAATCGATTAGTATGTAGATGCCCCTATGGGGGTTATACAAGTCCCTGTCTTTTTACTAATGTACAGATTTTGGTGTAACTGGTGCAAATGAGGGCTGGTTGGCAGATTATTTGTTCAGTCATTGATGAAGATTGAGGAGTATTAAGAAGATTCCTTGTGAGATTCTAGATGTTGTGGACCTTCAATTTGCACACAGCACATTTAAGTTTGGCCAAAACCTCGACTTTTTTGGCTATAAGTAGGCGGTTCGCT